ATTGATTTGTTTATTTCTTTGAGGATTAATTAATTAATTTATTTATTTATTAATTATTTCATTTATTTATTTATTTATTTATTTATTTATTTATTTATTTATTTACTGTCTTACTTACTTACTTACTTACTTACTTCCTTACTTACTAACTAACTTACTTACTTACTTACTTACTTACATACTAACTTACTTACCTACTTACTTACTTACTTACTTACTTACTTACTTACTTACTTACTTACTTACTTACTTACTTACTTACTTACTTACTGACTTACTTACTTACTTACCTACTTACTTACTTACTTACTTACTTACTTACTTACTTACTTACTTACTTACTTACTTACTTACTTACTTACTTACTTACTTACTTACTTACTTACTTACTTACTTACTGACTTACTGACTGACTTACTGACTTACTTACTTTCTTGCTTACTTACTTACTTACTTACTTACTTACTTGCTTACTTACTTACTTACGTACTTACTTACTTACTTGCTTATTTAGTTAATTACTTACTTACTTTCTAACTTATTTACTTACTTACTTACTTACTTACTTACTTTTTTTCTTATTTACTTACTTACTTACCTACTTACTTACTAACTAACTTACTTATTTATTAATAAAATAATTTATTTATTTATTTCTTTCCTTTTTTTATTGTTTTTCATTATTTTATTAATTAATTTATTGACATATTTTTAAATATATTTCTTAAAATTGATTTTAATTTATTTGTTCATCCATTTATTTATTTTTTTCATGTTTTCATTTTTTTTAATTTATTTGTTGGATGATTCATTTATTTATTTATTAATTATTTAACAAATTAATTCATTGATTTTTAAATACTTACTTACTTCCTTACTTACTTACTTTCTTACTTACCTACTAACTTACTTACTTACTTACTTACTTACTTACTTACTTACTAACTTACTTACTTACTTACTTACTTACTTACTCACTTACTTACTTACTTAGTTACTTACTTACTTACTTACTTACTTACTAACTTACTTACTTACTTACTTACTTACTTACTTACTTACTTACTTACTTACTTACTTACTATCTTACTTACTTACTTACTTACTTACTTACTTACTTACTTACTTACTTACTTACTTACTTACTTTCGTACTTACTTACATACTTGCTTATTTACTTATTACTTACTTACTTTCTTACTTATTAACTTACTTTATTACTTACTTACTTACTTTCTTACTTATTTACTTACTTACTTACCTACTTACTTACTAACTAACTTACTTATTTATTTATTAATTAATTTATTTATTTATTTCTTTACTTTTTATTGCTTTTCATTATTTTATTTTTTAATTTATTGACATATTTTTAAATATTTTTCTTAAAATTGATTTTAATTTATTTGTTTATCAATTTATTTATTTTTTTCATGTTGTCATTTTTTTTTAAATTTATTTGTTTGATGATTCATTTATTTATTTATTTATTTATTAATTATTTAACAAATTAAATCACTGATTTTTATTTGTTTTTATTTATTGATAAATTAATTAACTTATTTATTTATTAATTTATTTATTTATTCATTTATTTTTTTATTAATTTATTTATTTCTTTATTTATTTACTATCTTACTTACTTACTTACTAACTTACTTACTTACTTACTTACTTACTTACTTACTTACTTACTTACTTACTTACTTACTTACTTATTTACTTACTTACTTACTTGCTTACTTACTTACTTACTTACTTGCTTACTTACCTACTTACCTTCTTTCTTACTCACTTTTTTATTTATTCATTTAGTTACTTACTTACTTACTTACATACTTACTTACTTACTTATTTACTGTCTTACTTACATACTTACTTACTTACTTACTTGCTTACTTACTTACTTACTTACTTACTTGCTTACTTACCTACTTACCTTCTTTCTTACTCACTTTTTTATTTATTCATTTAGTTACTTACTTACTTACTTACATACTTACTTACTTACTTACTTACTGTCTTACATACATACTTACTTACTTACTTACTTGCTTACTTACTTTCTTACTCACTTTTTTATTTATTTATTTATTGATTTTTTATTTATTTATTTAGTTGTTTATTTATTTATTTATTTATTATTTATTTATTTATTTATTTATTTATTTATTTATCTAGTTATTTACTTATTTTTTTTTTGTATTCATTTATTTATTTTTTTAATTTTTATTTATTGATTTATTTATTCATTCATTGTATTTTTTAAAAAATAATTTATTTAGGAATTTATTCATTTATTTTTTATTTATTCATTTATTTTTAATTTGATCATTTGTTTATTATGTAATTAATTTATTTATCTTTATTTTAATCATATTTCTTTTGTTATTTATTTATTTATTAATTTATGTATTAATTTATTTATTCATTTTTTCTTTACTTATTTATTTATTCACTTACTTTATAATTTATTTATTTATTTGTGTTTTATTTAAAACATGATATTATTTGAGTAATGCACTTAAACACTAATTCATTTATTTATTTGTCGTCAAACAATGTAGACGAGAGAAAGTCTTTTGAAATCATGATGATGATGATGATAATAATAATGATGATGATAATTATATGGAACTACCACTCATTGTAGTCAGACACCTTTCAGTAGCTGTGGACTGTCTGTTCGACTTGATCAAGCTTAATAACCTCTAATTGTACTCAATCTACCTTTTTATGAAGGGCCATAAACGGATTGGGTAGATCCGTGGGCAACATCACCCACGTGCATCTACGGGATGATTGAGAATCTCCTTCCAACAGCAGAATCATACAACCGGTCAAAAAGCAAGCCATCCTACAAGCGGATGCCCTAATGAGTGGGGATAAGAGCCCACCCTCTATTCACGAAATGTTAAAGACAGGGAGTTGCCATTCCCACTCGTCCCATTCATTTCGCTTCAATTCCCAGCAGTTATGCTTATCATCAGAAAACGAGGCGTTTACGTGATGGGAAAAAGTGGTTTCCCTAACACACTCGCCGAATATTGATACCAAGCACGTAATCCTACGTCAAATCTACGGTCGTGTCTTGGATGCAACCTCTTACTTTTTCTTAGTGTGTAGTATTTAGAAGCACTGTAAAAAGTGTAATGAGTTTCGACTCAGTAAAGCTTCCGCATTTGAGCTTTGATAAAACAAAATGAACTCTTACTGGAACTAACTAACTGAACTGTTCAGGAAGACCACTTCACCTACGGTAATCCTAATAAACCCCGGGCGTAATCCTGATAACATTGTTTGATAATCCAGAGCACATGAAGTACGATTTCGGAAAACTTAAACCGAACTTTAAATTGTTCAGAAGACCTCGCTGCAATTTTAAAGGATTTTGTAGTGGATGTTTTAACGTGGGCATGGGATCATGAAAGGAATTAGATTGGATTGAATCCAATTGGAAACTGTGTGGTTCACCATTGTGAGAAGAACCAAATATAAAGTGCGATAAAGCCAGATGTATCTCTTTGTAGCAATGTTCCGGTATGCAATATTAAAGTCAATTCATCTCAACAAACAGATGGGGATATATGTTTCCTTTCGGCATAGCTTCTCAGCTCCGCTTAAATGATTCCAATGTTCCTTTTATCATAATCGTCCTTCCAGCTTCCATCCCACTTGCAGCTGCAGGCAAGCACAAAACCAACGAAGACTGGCAGACGCTGAAGGCAAACGTTAAACAAACGATGCGAATTGCAGTGACAGACCGTCTCTCAACCATTCAAACAATCAAACAACCAACCAACCACCACGCTCTCCCGCTGTTGGCAGTGTCCAGCAGCCTGAGGAAGGAATACGCGGATGTCTCTTCGGAGAGAGTACCTTCATAGTAGCTTATGATACTACTGAAGAAGTTGTTTACACAGTCCTCTTAAGAAATATGTACAGGGAAAAAAGCCGGGGGGATAGAAGCGTGGATCACCACCAGAAGAGGAGCCTGTTGCATTCATCTCATATCTACCTACATAGGGGAAATAATGGCTTCGGCAGTCTTAGAGTGTTCATTTTATGCAAAATAATGCTCTGCAATATGAAGCACCTTCGAAAAAAAAATCAACGCCCACCTGACGATAATAGGTGCCGAAATGCGGAAGCCGTAATTTCCTCTACACATATCTCTCCTCGACTCGTTCGGCCACAACAAAAGATTGGCTGCAATAATATACTGACTGTCTCGTTGTTGGCTTCCCGGACTGCGTGGAGTGTGTCACAGACATGGAACGGGACATGTATGACGGGAGACTGTGTTGACAGTCCAGAAATGGAATGAAAACAACCGTGTGGATATATTTATCATCGTGGAATTTTACACCCTTTTGTGAGAATCCCCGGGGGGTTCTTTAGACTAGTTCAATTTTTGTTTTTACTTTTATAAACTATTCGAAATCAGTAGTGACAACAACTATTTATTTCTCTATAAATCGTTTCGGTCTTGGTTGGATTCGAAATTTATGGTACGACTGCAGAGCCAAGGCCCAAGAACATTATAAATTTAATAACTAAGATTGCAAAACATATTTTCCCATAACAATTGATAAACATTCATCGTTTTATTCATGTACTTTCTTTTTTTTAATGTTATTTAGGTGAAACTTCTATGATTTTCCCCCATTGAACCAATCTAATGACTCCGTTCGTGATTCATGATTATGATGACTGGCTTCTCTGGGGTTACTCTCCAGTGAAAAGAGTGGGAAATGGTTGATGAAACCCGAGTAAATATACACGCGTTGCACATGCACATTCCCATACACAGCAGCCAGTCAGCCACCCATTGAGCTTTAACAATGTATGTTTAAACAACCCTTCCCCATGGCATGGACTTTTCACTGCTGAGCTGCACAGTCAACCAACTAACGAACAAATGTTTTCCAACCATTTTTGTTCTAATTTTCGCCTTCACTTTCTCTCTTCTTCTTCTTTTTTTTCTCATGGGGGCTTAGGAAATTCACATCGTCCGGCGGGTGCACCGTGATTGCCATCTACATCATCTACACCATGCTGCCCATCCGGCTGCGGGAGGCGATCGTCGGCGGGACGCTGCTATCCCTGTCGCACATACTGCTGACGTTCTACATGAACGAATCCGACGACGACCGAGAGGTGGTAAGTGAGGATGCACGGGGTTGTAGTTTTTGTATTCCTGTTTTTAGCGGAAGCAGTGCAATTTAATACCGCACGGGTCAGTGGAGTCCATTCCGAAAATGGATTTCGGTTGTAAAACGAAGTGTGTTTTTAACTAATGAATTGCACAATTTGCTGGAAGTACACCTGCTGCTTTTTTGGAGATGGAGAGAGAGAGAAACAATTTAATTGGAGATATGCTAATAGTTCGTTACAATAATGATTTGCATTTTACATCGAAAGGTTATAGCCTTGACGACCGATGATATCCATTCCAAATCTATTCTTATCTTATCAAATCTCAACACAGTTACTTACTTTTCCTGGTGCGACGTCCCTCAGGATTGCACCTGCGTCACAATGTTACGCCAACTAGCTCGGTTCGTGGCTGTATGTCTCCAATTTCTTGACCGTCCCACACTGCCAAGATCTCTAACCACCTTGCTCGCTGTGCATTGCGGGATTGTTGTCCGGCATTCTTACAACGTGTCCCACCCATCGTACCCGTCCAGCTTTCGCGACTTTTTGGATACTGGGTTCGCCATAGAGTTGCGCCCAGTTTTGAAAACTGTCACTGTAGAAGTCACGAACTGACTGATCATAGTCGCCCTTTTTTATTTTATCACTCTCGAATCGGACACTCACTCAAGCAACGTACCTAGTTGCTTTTGACAGTTGACAATGAAAGCTGGTCACTTACCGCTCCACTCAATCAGTCGTGTTATTTACACTCTTCTTCAAAGTGAGTGTCATCTCAGCAGCAATTTTTCTATTGTTGACATTCGTTTACATATCATTGATGATAATCGTGACATTCATTATCCGGATAGAAAAAAAAAATGGTGGGGTTGTGTACAAGACACGACCGCTGGGTTGACGCTGGGTAACGAAGAAGTCTGCACATTGTAGACGAAATACGCGTATCTGTCAAGGATAAGCAAATAAAGTAGTGGAATTAAACGTGAAGTTCTAGTTTCTTTGTTATAAGTTTTGTGAGAGCTGATATTTGTACTCTTGAAATTTTTCTACGGTAATGAGATTGATCCTCAGCGATTCAACTTCAAATGCACACACAAAAACGGAGTGCACAATTTTGCATAAATGTTATGCAACATTTCATAGCTGATCGAGATGATATCAATTAGCCATGAATCCCTCCAATAAGTTTTCGGTACATCTTTTATCTACCGATTGAACAAATAAAAAAAAAATGGCTGTGTTCCATTTGTCAAATTAGATTTGACACTTTGAAAATAAATTAACATGTTCGAAAATCCCTCTGTTGTAGATCGGCCGATTTTCGAGAAAGCGTCTGTAAAATTGATTCCTTGTCTGTCAGAACCTAGCACTGAAAATAAACTTTTTTTTTTGACTTTAAATGATCTTTATTTCTTGTGTTTGTGTGGTTTACATGTATGAATTTTCAAGTGACACAGATGCGTCTTTTCAACTTTAGTACATTTGAGATTTTAATTATTATTTACAGTTCCTAGTCCTATCAGGCCTGTTTTTAAAGTATGACCACCTTGGTGGGATTGGTTTGATTTGAATTGGAAAAAGGAGACTACTTATAACTACTATTTACAACTACAACTAATCTACAACTACTATATACACCTAATATAGTACACGGATAGAAATCTCCTTATACCTTTTGGCAAAATTCTATTACTGATTATTCATAAAATGTATAAGTCAACTAATAAGCAGACACCTTGCCAAAAGTTAATGAAGATCATGTGTCAAATGAAATGTATAAGCGGTCACACATACCTTTTATGCATTCTTATAGGATCTATGTGGTTTGTCTTATGGAATGTATAAGGCTGATGTTTGGCAAAAATGTATAAGTGAAACACATGAATAAAATAATTGATTTTCGTTTCGTGTACATACAAATTGCTTATCAAAGCATGTTCAGATAAATTACATTTTTGTGCAAATTTAATTTTACTTTCGTTAATTCTGGAATCTATTTTGGCAATGCCTGCCTCTTCGTGTAAATTTGTTATTCTAGTGTCGAAAGGACGATCAAGAACCATCCTTAGCACTCTGTTCTGAGCAACCTGGATTTTGTTCCTGTGAGTTTGAGCACATGATTCTCACACCGAAGCTGCGTAGAGGATCGCAGGTGCTATGATTTGTTTGTAGACAGCCAGTTTGTTCACCCTTGAGAGGCGGGATCTACGGCATATCAGCGGATACAGACACCTAACCAAGGCGGAACACTTTATTACGGTTTTCTCCACATGCGAGCGGAATAGGAGCTTTTCGTCAAACAACATCCCGAGATAGGTTACTTCGGCGGACCACTCAACCCTTGTGCCATCCATGATTACAGTACAAGAGGGAGTTGGTTTTAGTTTAGGAGATTGCCGGTGGAGGAACATTATTGTTTGGGTTTTGGAAGCATTGATTTTGATTTTCCACGTGGTGGCATAATCAGCAAAGGCGTCAAGGCATCGTTGGAGCTTGTTTGTTATTTCGCGAGGCATCCTTCCTTTGACGGCTTTTGCGGTATCATCTGCGAACAGGAAGAACACGCAACCGTCTCCGAGGGGAGGAATGTCTGAAGTGTAGAGATGCTGTAAAGCAAGGGGCCCAACAGACTTCCTTGCGGAACTCCTGCTGGGACGGAGAACGTGTTTGAAAGGCAGCCATTCAACGATACCTTAAACGACCTTTGCTGAAGGTAGTTACGGGTGATTTTAACAAGATGCAAAGGAAAGTTGAAGTTACAAAGCTTGTATACAAGCCCATTGTGCCAGACATTGTCAAACGCTTTCTCAACGTCTAACAATGCCATGGCTGTGGACTTGGATACAGCCTTGTTACTTCGGATGTTATTCATCACCCGTACTAGCTGGTGATTGGTGGAGTGCCCCTTTCTGAACCCAAACTGTTCCGGAAGGAGAATGTTATTTTCCTCGACAAACTTGAGCAAACGATTGAGAATAAATTTCTCGAACAATTTGCTCAGCGCTGAAAGAAGGCTGATTGGTCTGTAGCTTGAAGCTAGCGTTGGGTCCTTCCCGGGTTTGCGGATAGGTATGATTTTCGCTGTCTTCCAGATACTTGGAAAGTAGTGCAGTTCCAAGCATCTGTTGAAGACAGCAGCCAGCAGAGAGTGAACCTTCATGCTGAGATTTTTCAACACTAGGTTGAATATTCCGTCAAACCCGGGGGCCTTCATGTTTTTGGTGCATTGCAGCGTTGAGCAAATCTATTCCACTGTGATTCTATCCTCCGGAGGGATGGCACAAGGGGAGGAATCAAGGTTGAGTACGCATTGCTCAACCTGAACCTCAAGCGGACTTTGGATGTTGGAGCCAAGCAAGTGCGATTTGGCAATATGCTCACCAATCGCATTTGCTTTCTCCTGAGGGGTGATTATGAGCCGATCGTCATCATTTTCATCTTTGAGTGGTGGAATGGGTTTAGGGTGCGTCTTTAAGACCTTGGCAACTTTCCAGAATGGTCTGGAGCGGTCGTCCAGATTCTGGACAAGCCGCCCGAAACTTTCGTTCCGGAGTGAGACCATTCTAGAAGGAATCTCCTTGTTCAGATCGGCCATTTCATGTTTCCTCGCTAGATCTCCAGTCCTCTGAAACTGGCGTCTACGAACATTTCTCAGGCGAATCAAAAGTTGGGTGTGGGAATCAATGGCAATAAACATACCCCTCACAGGAACTCGTCGGACGCACGCCTCGTCAGCCACGGTTATGGCTTGGTGGAGTCCTTCCAACGCTCGGTCGATGTCCTCCACGTTGTCAAGCGGCGGGTTGTCGATGATGTGCCTGTCTACCACGCGTCCAAACTGGGCCCAGTTTACGCGATGGTAGTCCTTGCGCAGGCTTGAAGCAGGAGCACCGTTGCAGCCCAGTTCAGCCACCACCGGTTGGTGGTCGGAGCTGAGTTCGTTCAATGCTACCGGCTTGGACAAGCCGATATTTGTCAGGAACAGGTCTAGCGTCGATGGGTTGCCCGCCGGTGAGATAAATTTTGGCTCATCCGAAAACCAAACAAAGTACAGCCCATGCTGTGAGTGGTCGAACAGCAGACGACCGTTCTGGTTCTGCTGGTAGTTCCGCCAGGCCTCATGGCGAGCGGTTAGATCTCCTCCTATTACGAAGCGGGAACCGTTACGGGTGATGGTGGACAGGTCCTTCTTGAATTTAGCCGCTAGTCCACTGCTGGCCGCACACTGTCGAGGGCAGTAGATGGTGATGAACTGGACGTATCCAGTCGACGACTCCACCTCCACACCAAGGGCCTCGATGATAGAGGTGCGGATATGGGACAGAGTGTGGTATTTTATTCCTTTCTTGACGACGATCGCAACACCACCCCCTGGAGCTGGTGCGATCAAGCCGAATAATGTTGTGGTCAGGCAACCAGAAGCTGTCTCTGAAAATAAACTCTACGGTACCTCTATTTATGCTAAGAGATAAGCATTGCAAGTCCCTCCTACTTGAAGAATTATGCAATCGAACGGCTGGCTATGCCTCGCCCCCATCAGCAAAAAAAAACTGGAGTTGTACAAACCGTTCTATAGCATAATTTTCCAAGTAGGAGGGACTTTCATAGCTAATCAAAAAGCGTAAATAAAGGTACCGTCTGATAATTTCAGTGCTTGGTGCAGAAAAGTGTAATCTGTGTAGGAAAATCCTTTTTATCACCACAGAAACACCCCGTTCCCGTTTTCTTATGCAAAATAATGAAAACGCACGAAATCTTAAAAAAAAAACTATATTAAGATTTTTTTTAAATTTATTTAATAGATTAAAGATGTACCGAGAACTAAATGGAAGAATTTCAAGTTAAAATGTTCAGATCGTGAAATATTGACTATCAATACCAAAATTTCGCAAAAATGTCCAACCCATTTAGTGTGGTGTGTGCTGCTGTCTTTCAGTGTTGCCCAATGATTAGGGAACTTTCATAAATAACGTAGTAGTTGAGGGAGGACAGGGGTTTCAGAA